CCAAGAGTCAGTATTAGACGTCGGGAAGGCCCTCCTGTTCTACTTGGACTCTCCGAGTGCCAATATCAAGTAAGAATTTCTATTCTCTTACTGGGAATTCTACCAGAAACTATCCAGATCCATTGATTTGGAATCGAAGACAAGATGACCAGCCCCTGGATGAAGCAACAATTGATGTTACTGTCCTTGTAAGTAGTTAAGAATTACTATTGAGAAGATTTTGCAACTAAGAAGATTTAATACGTAACCATAAGAAGAATTTATCAAAAAACTCATTTCTACAGAGATTTTTTTTGAAGAATCCAAGTTTGCGTTTTTCAATGAAATCTAATTTTGTGCATAGCTTTGAGTTTTGTTTTCACCTATTTTTTACTCATCTTTATCCTGCATATTTTATACATTTTATTTTATGCCTCTTGTTAATCGTTTTGTACCTATCGAAAGAGAAAGATCTCCTTTGAGAATGGCTACTTCAAATCAACAGAATGTCGTTCAGCATGACAATCCTCAATTAATTTTTAACATGCTAAAAGATTCAATTCCTATATTTTATGGCTATTCAAACAATCTTTCTACATTTTTAAGAAAGTCTACAGAATTTTATAACGCTTTACCTATTTCCTATAAAGGACATCATTTATTAAGTCTAGATTACAAGGCGAACCTGCCGAATTTACAGAACAAACTAATCCTATTACTATTGAACATCTTTCTGCTATTTTAACCACTAGATTTAAAGATTACCAAACTGAAGAAAATTTGACTCGTCAACTTTTTGATATTCATTCCCCAGACTATAGCGTTTTACATTCAGAAATTTGTAACAAACTTCATGAATTACGAGAATTTGCTCGATTAAATTATCCTCCAGAAATTGCCCCAGCAATGATTGCTAGATATGAATAGATGGCTTTAACCTCCTTTTTATGCGGAATCAATTCCAAATATCATTGCGTTGCATTACAACCACCCCCTAAAAATATAGATGAAGCTAAGAGACGGTGCCAAGAACACGACAACCTTTTGCAAACCAAACAATATAAAGAGTTTCTCGTCACTAAGTCTAAGCCTCAGACAAATAAACCTGTTAGACCGCCAATGCAGTCATATAGACCTAACTTTCCCAATTTTGCTAATTTCTCTCATAATCCCTCTACTTCTCGTCCCGCTACTACTTATGGACAACAATTTAGCAACCCACAATCATTTCACAATTCTCGTCCAACTTTTAGACAACCATTCTATACTTCCCCGCAAAGTCGTCAATTTTCGAACGCATTCAACCCCTTTCAACACAATTTTGCAAATCGTCCACAATTTCCTATGAATAGGCTCCCTGTCACCAATACTTCAAGACAAAATAATCAAAATCATCCTACGCCTATGTCAACTTCGACGATCCAGTCACGTAGACCTTTTGTAAGACCCAATTTCTTTTCGAATAATGGTCAACGCCCTAGATTAGCTGTTCAAGAACTTACTAATAACGAATCCGAACCCACTAGTAAAAGCTCTACAGAAAATGTAGCAAACCCCTTCGAATCTTATTATTCTGAAACTTGTTGTCCAGAAAATCTCGTAGAAGATCAATTTCAATATTATGAAAACGATTATTCTCAAGAAAATGTTCAATCAACTCCTCATCAACAATCCCCAGAATAGACATTGATTTAAACTCTTATGAAAATATTCATCTCCCATATCTCTACAATGAAGCTTTGGATTTACTTATTCTTATAGACACAGGTGCTTCTGCATCTCTTATGAATCCCCAAATTGCTTACGACAAATTTCCGGATTATATTTATCCAAAATGTTTTTCTATCAAAACAGCAATTGAAACCAAAATTGGTACTCACGCTTGTAAGATCCCTATCTTTGATGATCTAGGTATTCCAACAGAAGTTGAATTCTTATTACTCCCTTGGCATCAAAAATATGATTGTCTTTTAGGTTACTATGACCTACAGAAATTCCACAGTAATGTTTACATTTCCCATAATTTACTTTCCATCGAAAACTTTGAAATTCTATGTCATACTCATAAGGAACCAATCAAAATTCCCAATCAGATTTTCGACACCATTCCTATAGACACAAATGAAGATTCTGTATTTATCCCCCCTGTCAAATACTCGAATTCAGAAAATTACACTCCTAGTTATATTTGCCCTGTCATAGATAAAAAGATTCTATTTCCTGAAAATCTCAAATTAATTGAAAGTCATAACATTCAATTCGAATCAATTTCCGATTATGAAATTTCGAATCCTAATCCCTTACCCAAATATCAAAAGCACGAAACCTACAAGCAAAATGGAACCCAAATTCAGATAAAAGATCGGAAACATATGATTAAAAAGATTAAACCACCTCGCATTGTTTCAGATGTGTGACGATCACCATAGCTGTCCACATAGCCTCGGAACATTATTTGCAACCCATACAACAGATACGTTTAGGTAATGCAAGAAATATTTATCACTATCACAAAGTCTATTTCTCCATTAACCTCACTGATATTTCACATACCATGCAAATGTTTTCTTACCTAATTGAATTACATAATAAAATTCCCACCAACTTAGATAATCAGTTTCAAAATTTATACGAAGATACTTATTCCAAGTTCGAAACTTTAACACACCATAAAATCAAACTTAGGTTCTATAATTCGTTTTATTTCTGGCAACCTTGATCAAAACGATTTAGATCTTATTTTGAAAAATCAGAACGCTTTACGAAATAACCAGAATAGCTTGCTTGAAAGTCATCAGAAAACTATCACGTTTTGCAAATCTCTTCAAGAAACTTTTGAAAATAATACAAGAAGAATTCAGTCAATTATTATTCATAATGTCCAAACTATTGAAGATCAGTCTTTGTTATCACACCAGACGATCCACCAGATCTCAATTATTACAAATTTGCAACGATTTAATTCATATCTAAATTCACTTTTATTAGTTCTACAATTGAACCAGCAAACAGGTCTCAACACCTTACAATTATCTCATCATCAGATTACCTTACTTATTGAACATTTAACATCCATTTATAAAGACGAAGAATTATTGCCATTCGACAAAATACATTTATTTGAGATTTATGATCTTTCCCTTTTATCACTTATACTTTTAGAAAACCAACTTATTTTTGTAGTTGAGTTTCTCATTTTAGATGTTAGAACTTATTCCTTATTCAAGTTATTTTCAATCACAGTCAAAAAAGAATTAGTAAAATTACCAAGTGATTATATTTTATACTTTGTTAAGTATTATTATTGCAAAAATATTATAGAGTTAAGCAATCAGCTGTATGTTTGCACGAATACTTTCCAGTCGCCATGTCAACCACTTAAGTTAGACACTTGTGAGTCTGAAAGTCTACTAAACTACACGCGAATCCTAGAATTAAGTAAGAACAATTATGTAATCGCCACTAATGTTTTAACAAAAATCAAGGATTGTAAAGGAATCCATCATATTCATTTTACTACTCACATAATTTTAGAATGTCATACATTTATTAATGATCAAATATTAGAATTTGACACTAATTATGAAATTGAATTAGAATTATCCTTCAGAGGTGACAACGATAAATATTCATTTAAGAAAACAAACACTTCACTCGAATCTTATTTCGTAAAAAAATCTCACTTTACTTCAAGTTCATTTTGAAGATTTACAGTTTCATTCTACAATAAGTCATCCTGTTATTTTTACTACTGTAATTATTTTATTGGTCTTATTTATAACAATTTTTGTTAGATACCGTTATGTAAAGGATACTAAAACTCCACCTCAAAGTAGTGATATTTAAGAAACTTCTCCTTCAAATTAAAAGTTCAAATCATTTTTTGAGATTGGAGACCAATCTTTCCGAGGAGGGAGGAGTTATGGAATCCTGATGATTACCATTTCAACGGTACGGCTATCACCGTCCCGATGCCCTTGTGATTAGCGCCGTCCATCCAGTTTCTAGTTACAGTGTTAGGTGTTATCTTTGTGAGAACATTCCTGACTTTGCATTTTGCTATATTTTACTTCTTATAAACTGAATATGAAATGTAACTAGCGTTGGTGTCATCCTGTTTTCATCCAATAAAGTTCCTGCTATAGTTTCGAACCGAAACCACACTCAGTTTCATTTCTTATATGTATCTGGATGTGGATAGTGTATTCTTTTGAACATCTGCTAGAGACTATATGGTTAAGTGTAAGAGTAGCAGCACGCTAAACTTCGCCATATAAGTCTGACATTTGGCTATACTACAATGTAATTGTGGATAAATAAAGACGTCTATTATTATTATTATTAATTGACTGTCTTAGGACCGTAGCTAATCTGTTTCACCATCATGGTTAATGTAAGTTTATATCAAATTGAGTGATTTGTGGAGATTCTCTGTTAATACTAGTATTCTCTGTAGTTCTGTACTTCAATATAAAGGGAGTATAAATATTTATAGTTTAAGAAGAAACTGATAAGAATGAATCGAAAGTAGTAAGATATTCTGATAGTATATAGTCAACATGCTTGTATCATATAAAATGTTACACGAAGTATGTTATATTTTAACGATGCTGTAAACATTCATAAACTATATATAATCATATTTTCCACAACACTTTTACATTCTGATTATCAGTGTTATGGACATGTGATTGTATATTCCTATATTATAATTCTTATGAAAAATCTGGTAATTCTAGTAACCTGGCAGTCCTTAACGATACCTATTATTTCTTTTTGAAAAGAATTTGTTTTCATAACTAATTATGACAATTTTTCCATGCAGGTGCTGCAGAAGACCATCACCAGAAATGAACATATTTGTACCATAAATATTATTGATATGTTCATACATTATAAAATTTAGATAAAAATTCATTCTCACGTATAGATTTTTTTACTGTTCTCAAAATTTCAAATAACTGTAGGATATATGGCTGATTTTATAATAGCCTGTCTTATTGACGCTGCTGCTTTAAAGATAAGTGACTACTTATTTGTCAAAAGAGCAAACGTATGTTAATAATACATGGTGATATAAAATCTTCCATATATTATTAGAAAAGCGTTCCATAAGATTATATAACAGTCTCAGATTTATGCAAAGAGCCGGCAACGTTAGATGTGACGTTCGTGCTCAATCTGACAACCATGTGGCATCCAGAAAAAATGGCGCTTGACACTGACATAAGTCTATCGTGTTGGTGTTGCTCTATGGATATCACGTGACTCCGTGACTGTACCGTCTTCAATGTTTAAGTTTTATGTTCTTTCCGTGTATGTTTTGTGGTACAATCCATTATAAACATTATTTAGTATCTAATTTTCAAATTAAAATGTGGTTTGAGATTTTACCTAGTGCGGGAATTATATTTGTTGCTATGGCTTTCCCCCATGCATCTGCTTATGTTCTCAATAATTTAGTAGTAGGAAATGTAAGACACATATTACGTAATATCGGTTTGGTTCTTATTTTTTATAAATTTTAGATGTACCGAAGACAACTCTTAACGAGGGAAGAAAGAATTGGATATCTGAGGGATAGACGGTTGGCAGGTGGTGATCCATATAAAGTTGTGGTAAGCTAATTTATCTTCTGAAAGCTATCCAGTTATGTCTGATACATCTAAATGAGTGTACTGGAGTGTACATTTCACAGACAATAGATTGACTTTTTGTGGCTTCTAAAGCGGCAGTTTCACATAGCTGTTGACTATTATCGCAGCGACTGTTGAGTAGTGGGGGACTACTGCGATGGTTTTACTGCTACCTACTGATTCACTATTTACTATTATACTAGTAATGTCAATGAAGCAGTCAGTTCTGAAGATGGCGCCGAATAGAAAAATAGTGGTAAATGGTGTAACTACTTGTTTATTATTGAAGAAAAATTTGTTATTGTAAAAAAAGGTATTATGGGACGTCCAAACCAATATACAGTAAAAAAAGATTGGATGAAAACACCTCTATTAAACAGACCTCGCTTTGACGTGGAAAATAATTTACTAACGGAATTATTAACTGTTGATGGAGATTTCCCAAATTTTACACGTCTGCCATTTGAAAAATTCGTAGAATTGCACGAAAAGGTTAGTATAACGAACATTACAGTTAATACTATGTTTTATAATATATAATATACTACAGTAAGATATATATGTAACTTTAATTTTTTTTAGATTGCACCTTTGATCACTAAACAAGAAACGCATATGAGTAGTTCTATAAGTTCAAAACTTCGTCTTGCGGATACTTTACGATACGATACAAGTGGTAATTCATACAAGTCACTGGAATTTCTCAGCAGAATATCATGAATTACGATAGGAAATTTTGTACCAGAAGTATGTCATGCAATCGTCATTGTCTTAAAAGGTAAGTTTAAAATTTCTATAAAGTAAAAGCAATTCGAAACAAAAATTTATATTATTTCAAAGTAAGAAAATATAATAAAACTTTTTTTAATAACGAGAAAAAGGCAAATTATTTTATTATTCCTTGAAGTGCTCTTGCTACAAGGTCTCCGGTGTCAGAAGTATTGTTCCACTCATTTTCTTCTTGGGGTTTGGTAAGTCTTGATATACTGGTGTTGGAGGCTGGGTATTTTCTGATGAATGATCGGTGGAATAATTATAATTTGTTACAAATGTAATGGGGTAGGAAGATTTCCAAGATGCTGAGGTAGATTTTGCATGATGTATTTGCAATAACCTGTTGTTGATTATACCGGTATTTTCTGTTTGCAACTCCAAAGCTTCTTCTAGTGGAATGCTATTTAGTTGCGAAGCTACCAGATTTCCAAAATTATTGAACATGTCTTGCTTAGCAATGGTAGATATTTCATCTAGAGCAACATCTACAGCTTTTCTAGATTTTTCGATTGAGGCATCTAAACAGTCATATTTTCTTTTCTTTTTTACTTGTGCTAATTTTAAAGGAGTGTAAACAGATGTGGTTGGTTCAGGTTCAGGGTCACTATTATTTGATGTGCTCAAAACACTACTTGCTTCTACATTTTCTGTGTCCTGTTCATCTCTTTTATCGTACAATAAAAAAAACAATATTACCAAAATGTTGAGTAACCGATAAACTTAAGTTAAATTGGTTATGCTTTAACTAAACATCAGTTTGACAGGCTACTATACTTATTGGCCTAATATCAAGCCAAAAATGATCTGCCAAAATGTGAAAAAAAATTATTGATCTATTGATGAGAAAAATATTGTATGTTGAATCATTGTTTAATTTTGGGACGAAGGGTATTAGACAGATTTTCTTAACAAGGAGTGTTTGTGAAATTTTTGTTAAAAACCCATTATCTTTTATATTAAAATTTAATCAAACAATTTTTCTACTTTTTTAGGTCCCATCTAGTAGAGAGGAATGGCGAAAGATTTCATCTGAATTCAAAGAAAAATGGCACTTTCCTCATGCTATAGGAGCTTTGGATGGCAAGCATGTAGCTATTCGCGCCCCTTCGAATGAAGGCTCTTACTACTACAACTACAAAGGATTCCACAGTCTTGTCCTTTTGGCACTTGGGGATGCAAATTACAACTTTATTTATGTTGACTGTGGTGGAAATGGAAGAATTTCTGATGGTGGAACCTGAACCTTTACCAGGAAGCAGGACACCTATCCCTTATTGTATTATTGATGATGATGCTTTTGCACTTAGTCATAATTTAATGAAACTGTATCCACGATCAACAAGTTTGTCCATATAGCAAAAAATTTTCAATTATAGATTATGTAGAGCACATAGAGTTGAGGAAAACGCATTTGGTATTCTTGGTAGTAGGTTTCATATATTTACAAGGGCGATAGACGTCAATTTAAGCACCGCAGAATCTATAATAATGTGCTGCTGTGCATTGCATAACTTCCTACTTCCTGAGACTCTTGCAAATTTTGAAAACAACAATAATGAACGTATTACCAAATATTGGTCATGGGGGAAAATTTTCAAAAAGTCTTGCTAGACAGATCCGAGACGATTTTGCAGAGTATTTTGTTAATGAAGGGGATATAGACTTTCAATGGACAAATATATAAAAATTTGTATACATATGTGTCAGTCTATTAAGAATATGTACAAATAAAATACCAAATGAAAAGAACATACCTGTGTTAGTTTTGATTCCAGATTGGAAATTGTTTTACGGGCAATTATAACATCGTTTAAAAAGTGCAGATGTTTGAACCATGGCACTGTTGGACAGTAAATATCATCTGTGCTCATTCCTGTACGTTGGCTATCATTAATTTTCTTTTTTTTTCTAATAAATACGATGCTCTTATGGAAGCTATCTTCTTTTTGACGGTTTCTTCATCTATACCCATCTTTTCCGCAACACTTGCGATTGCATCCTTTCTCTTTACATTATTCTTGTAATTTGGCGACTTTATATCCCATAAGCACTCATGTTCGCGGTATAATTCGATTAATAAAAGTACTTTTTCGTCCGAGAACGCAATGACTTTTACAGATTTCCCCATATTTATTTTATAAATAAGGAACTGCGATAGCAAAACTAGAATTATTTCTACTTATCGCAGTAATTGTCATAACAATCTACTGCGATCGAAGTGGTATGATTCACAACCAAAAACAGATGACAGTCAAGCCACGCCTACCTAACAGTCGTTGCGATAACAGTCAACTGCTAGGTGAAACTGCCGCTTAAGACAACAGCGTCATCGTTTCTCATGTATTCTTATATGTGTATGATTGGAATTTCAAGTACATGGGTCATGGATATTTTGCTGGCGTACACAGGAGAAACCCTTAATATGATACTGTTTCAACAAACTACTTTCAAGTTGCATTTAAATATTTTCATATTGGTAGCTTTTTGATTGTCAATTACAGTAGAGTAGTGATATACATTTTTCATGATGACAGAAATACTTTTGTTTGTGGCCATATCTGTGAGATAAGTGAAAGAAACTATAAGTGTGTGTGTACTCATTAATCAAAGATCAGCAACTCAACACTTACATAAGTCATGGTATCAAATTTAGGAATATCAGTTGAATGACAATTTACAATGTCTCTTTGGTTCCACTTTTCCTTTAACTACTGTTTGTTGTAGGTGAACCCAATAGGCTAAATGGGGAGTTACTTTAGCATTTTAGATACCAATTGGGTTTTTGAAAATTTGAGGACAGAAAGAAAATCTGACAATTATTTGGAGGGACTATGTTAATCTGATAATTTGAAAAAACACTTTAGAATGGTTAAATATTTTCTCTAAATCTAAAATTATACACTTTGCAACATTCCCTGTGAAATCTTCTAAATCACACTAGGGTCTAATAAACAAATTTTGCTTGCTGCATAGGAAATTGCAATATATATATATACACATATATACAGGGTGTCCGCAAAGTTGGGGTTTTCCTTTACACGACGTGTGGATCTTGAAAACAAGCAATTTTTCTTAATACCATATACACCAATGTCTTAAGGGAACCGAAATAAAGGGCTCTGCAACATCAAAAATATCTGAATACCGTCCTGTACCCGCGACCCGGGACATCACCGATTGGTACAAGGTCTCAACCCGACGGCAGAACTTTGTCGGGGTCAGTGTGACAGGTCAGTATGCAACCTTCAACCGACGGTTACGGTCACGCATGTAGAGGTAATCGCGTAGACGAGAATCCCTCAACCAGCACTAGAGACGTGGCTAGAGAATTGCAAGTATCAAAAACTAAAGTGTGGCAAACGCTGCGTGAAGAGGGGCTGTATCCGTTTCACGTCCAACGTATACAAGCCCTTCAACCTGACGATTTTCCAGCTAGGGTGCGCTTTTGTGAGTGGTTGTTGCATCAACATAACAATAATCCGGACTTTTTGAAGTGCATATTGGTGACAGACGAATCTACGTTCACGCGTAATGGGGTGAATAACTTTCGCAACACTCATGTTTGGTCAGTAGAAAATCCGCAATTAATGTTAGTTTGCTTTATAAACTATGGTCCAAAAATGTTTCCTTACAAAAACTCGGGGTGTTGAAGTTTTAGGAAAAAAATGGAAATTAATTAATATTTTCAGAACCGCTTCAGATATTTCACTGATATTTAGTACGTAGTGAAAGTTAATAAAGTTGCATATTTTTGAATGCAAAAATAATTTTTAGCTTTAACAGTGGCGTGCGTACGGGTATTGACTTTGATATTTTTAAGAAAAGAATGCTACGTCAATGGTTTTTTGCCAAATAAAAATTATTTTTGAACTCCCCGTTCAATTCAAACCAAATATTATATATTGAATTATTTTCCTTCGATGCGCCATTTTTGAGTAAAAAAATAAAAACCGTTCTATTGTCTAACTTATAAAATTATTAAATTAATTGGAAAAATGAAACACATTAGGGGTAATGAACAACAACAACTGACAGCGTAAACATAATATTAAAACCAACGAAATGATTACAAAAATTGTTGAAAATGGCCCCCTTCACTTAGTATGCATGCTTCCGCCTTCCTTCTCATGGAATTGCGCACTCTTTGACACACCCCTGGAGTGTTTTTTATCCTATCACAAGCTGCAACTATTCCTCTACAGAATTAATGGGTCTTGTGGACACTAGTGTCTTAAGATAGCCCCACAAAAAGAAATTTAAACTGTTGAGGTCTGGTAACCTTGGTGGCCATTCTTGGGGCCCACTGCGGCCAATCCAACGATTTGGATAAACAGTTGTAAATAATTACGAACCGCTACATTGAAATGCGCTGGTGCACCATCATGCATGTACCTCATATTGTTTTTTATTACTAACGGAACATCATCAAGCAGCAAAGACAACTGCTGTTGAAGAAAATTGTGGTAAGTCTGTCCGTCAAGTCGTCCCGGCAAGAAGAATGGGCCAATAAAGTGGTTGCCAATAATTCCTGCCCATACGTTAACCGAAAATTGGTGTTGGAAATGGGTTTCGGTTACGGCATAGGGATTTTCTTCTGTCCACAAATGATTATTGTGGAAATTCTGAATGGCATTTCGAGAAAAATTAGCTTCGTCCGTGAACAGAATCATTGATTCAAATTGCGGATTTTGTGTAATTTTTTGAAGATACCACTGACAAAAGGTCATACGCCTTGGAAAATAAATATGGTAAGGATGTTTCCGCGAATCCCGAACAATCCGCTCAACGTGGCAACGTCGAGAGAGAGTTGAGAGAACAAGATACAGTCACATAACACCTACTTTATAAGGGAATCTGTAATGCTAAGGTTTACCACTTGTAGTTTGTAGCGCCATCTCAGGGACATTCTCCGAACTTTTTATAGAACCTTTACGAACTGTTATAGAACCCTTCAAAAATATCGAATACCTAGCGCCATCTTGGTTAGACTGTGGCGCTAAATTTGAATTCTATATTCAAATTATATACAGGGTGTCCTCAAAGTTGGGGTTTTCCTTTACACGACGTGTATATCTTGAAAACATAAGCAATTTTTCTTAGTACCATATACACCAATCTCTTAAGGGAACCGAGATAAAGGGCTCTGCAACATCAAAAATATCTGAATACCGTCCTGTAGCCGCGACCCGCCGCGATATCCCAGACTGGTACCGGCTACTAGCTGAACCCAACGACAGAACTGGGTCGGGGTCAGTGTGTCAGGTCAGTATGCAACCTTCAACCGACGGTAAAGGGTCACGCGTATAGAGGTAACGAACCCGTATAATCGATTGCGTTTCAAAAAAAAAAAATAATGGCACACTCGTACACCAATAATGAACTCTTTGATATGTTGTTAATTTATGGCGAATGTCTTCAAAATGCTACAGAATCGTCGCGAGTGTATGCAGATCGTTTCCCTAGACGACATCATCCAAGGCCCCGCAGATTTGTGTACCTGGTCCAGAGAGTCAGGGATACGGGCCATGGCCATTTGGAGGAATTTCGAGGTGGGCACAGTGGGGTCCTAGACAACCACGAATGATGCAAGTTGAGGAAGAACTACTGAATCGCGTAGACGAGAATCCCTCAACAAGCACTAGAGACGTGGCTAGAGAAGTGCGAGTATCAAAAACTAAAGTGTGGCAAACGTCCAACGTGTACAAGCCCTTCAACCTGACGATTTTCCAGCAAGAGTGCGGTTTTGTGAGTGGTTGTTGCATCAACATGACAATAATCCGGACTTTTTGAAGTGCATATTGGTGACAGGCGAATCTACGTTCACGCGTAATGGAGTGAATAACTTTCGATTTCAGGCAGAGACGTACTTAGCCCTTCTCGTCAACTGGAGAGTGAGTACTTTTTCCTTTATTTTTTTTTACTTGGTCGCCCTCGTTTCACTACACATTACCTTTGTTATTTCAAGGGTAGTTGTTTCTGAAAAGGAAAACCCCAACTTTGCGGACACCCTGTATAAGGTATTTTAGGTAAAATAAAGCTCAACCTGATTATATTTTTAAAATGTGTATTTTTTTAATATAATACATAAAAAAATAACAGTTATGCAAGTTGTTAGGAATCTAAAAGTAGTCGGTATTACCGATGTACTATCGCGTGCATAAGAAACTTGAAAAGCATCTATTGTTATCAGACATGCATTGCCACGGATGTCTTATCAGTGTGACAGTGCCTTGTTATCTTTTTATAAGGTCATCGATAGTTCAGGAGATATGCGATGTCCATGTGTTTTCTGCATGTGGTAGTACCTATGTAAAGTATAAAATAACAATCTTCTTGAGAACAAATGAGTAATTAATTTATAAAAGTAAAAATAGGAAAATTTTTAACTAAGTATTAAGTTACTAAAAATAAAACTGAAATATTCTTAATAAATTCAAAAATAAATTTCAAAAAAGGAATATACTGAAAGTAAACTAAATAAAAATAAAAATAGATACCTTTAGCAGTTGCTGAATTTCTAGGAGTAGTTAAGTTGATGTCTTCAGATAATCCTGCTTTTGGGCTATAGCTTTCAGCCCAGCTTTCACCTATGAATAAAAAAAAATAAAAATAAAAGGAGTTGAAAACCACATACAAATATTTGACTGAATATTATTTTATACATACAAGTTTGAAAATTTATTTGAATGAATTAAATTTAAGTTTTTTTTAAACTAAATACTTGCAAAATATATACTGAAACATACTTACATCTTAAATGTTTTGGGGGAGCTGAATTCAAGTTTTTAGATGAGCCTGGACTTGGATGTTCTGAGGAATGTTCAATATTTACTAAACGTTTTCCTAATACAGAAGTTTTTCTTTTAGGACTTGGTGTGAGTATATTCAGTAGTACTTTGGATGTTAACTTCTCTGTTGCTGAGCCCTCCTGGTTACCTGAAAGTTAATTTTTTTTTTTGAAAAAGTTTGTCAACTAATAGTTGAAGTAATTATACATACATATTATAGCTCTCACTTTATTAATGTACATTTTGAACAAGTTTCTAATATTTATACATCTGTCACTATCTAAAGTAAAATAACTATTTTTAATCTTACCTTCTTCATATATAATGTTTTCTTGGACCAATTTGGTGTCTGTTGAAGAACTTTTCAATAGAACTGTTTTAAGGGTCTCTCATTTTTGCAGCCAACGGATTAGCAATTTTCCTACTACCTTCATGAGTTTCGGGACTACTCTGAACCTTTTCCGAAACCATACCTAAAAAAGAATTGAATTTCATTATATGTTAATAATGCTAGGTAAGTTTTTCAGAAAATTGTGGAAACCGTAAATACTGTGAAAGTTTTTAGGATACCAAAATGTTCGTATCAACTAATCCTGATTATTCACTGATTGGTTTATATATGTAAACAAAGTTATTACTTGAAGATTGAAGACAGAAAATGTAATGTAAGAAAAGCTGTTCTTTTCAAACCTCTCTTGGTTCCAGGCACTTTATCACTTTTCGAAAAATGTAAGTCACACACCAAATAGCTTTTATAAATTTGTTCGAGATCTTTATTGTCCAAAATTGGATTTGCTCGATCCACTTGTTGAAAAGAGCGGTATCATATTTTGGAAATGTATGCCTTTTACTGATTGTATCAGTACAACCAGGCACCACGCACTTTTACAAAAAGTAAGTTTTGTGAATTGAAATTCAGTTAAAGCTCAATGAATATCAGTAGCACCGACACAGAACTAATAAAACGCCGGCGCCGCACTTTATATTGAACTGTCAAAAAGAACGGAAAACCTAGTATCAGCGCCACTCTGTTGTTACACTCCGTACTAAGTATATAAGAATATCTGGTTGCCTACAAAATGCACCTTCAAAGTCATTTATTTAACTTTCCCTTATAAAGTAGGTGTTATGTGGATACAGTCTACACGTTTTTCTTCTCAGCACGACAAAAACTGTCTAAATAATTGTAAAATTTGAATATTAACGTAACAGAGTGTTATTGTAAAACGTCTAATACAGACTGCAATTGTGTAACAATAAAACTCCAAGATTTCAACGCAGCAAGCAACAAAGTCTGTTCTTTATTTCACCCCACGAGGCGGCGACCTAACCTCGCAACATTTTGGACCTTCGAACCGAATGTTAACAATTGCACCATCGGCCGAATACCAGCTTGGAACCTGAAGTACCAGCACCAACGTGAGAAGCCTTGCAAAGGGGTGTGGTGAGTCCACGATACACGTAACACCGGTATGCCATTGCGCATGCTAGCGCTATCTCTCTCTCACTGCGTGACGTCACGTGCGAAGCAATGCTTCTGTTTGAATAGTACGGACGTCTGCATTAGCCCGTTAATATTAAATGTAAGCATAGATTTACTTACTGTTTTGTACCATATATAATGTATATATGTGTATATTAATATACGACTGTAACAATATGCTTTTGTAATTAATATTTCCAGCATAGTTATAGAAATTATATTTGTGAAAATTTATTGAACATTATAAAAACTTATTTCCTAAAATTAACAAACTTGGACATTTTTTTTTCGAGTGTCCTTTGACATTTATTGAAACTAATTTTCCTGTTCATGTCTCTTAATCTTATATATGTACGTGTTCTACTGAGACATAGGAGCACTTCGAATTGTATTGAGGTATTCTTAAGCTGATTTAAAGTATTCTGGGCAAGCTTATGAAAAATTTGATTTTCCTTGGATAAAGAGCTTCCATGCATTGTGTAAAACACTGATTCCAGTTTCAGTGTAGCTTCATACAATTCGTCGTTAGGATACAGCAGAGAGCCTCTAGAGATTGTCTGAAGCCAATCTGGTTCTATATTTCTCTCAAAGGTGTTTGTAGGATTCCCTAAATTATATTTATGCTTGAATTTATATGCAACAAAACCAGCAACATACTTTAAAGAATCATGGTGAATTTTCTCTTTCACTTCATAATTGTCTACAAGTTTTAACATGTCTTCATCAATCACATGATCCTCCAAGTAAAGAGCTTCTACAAATGTGTTTTGAATTATTTGTTCCTCTTCACACTGAGGTCCTTTCGAACATCCAACTTCTTCTACCAAATTAGAAAGCATTTTTTGTGTCAAGCAAATATCTTCTGATGTTGACATATCGCTTGGCAATGAAGAACTTTCTATCATATTAGTTAAGCAAGATTCATTGCTTTCAATGGTATTGCGACATTCTGTGAAGATCGCTGACGAATTCTTTCCTAAAATGTACCACCGTAATCTATATTTGAAATCTAGTGGCGAATGATGATCATTTGCGCCGCCCATTCCTCTAATGTAAGAAAAGAAGTTCTCAAGTACATCTTGATTCAGCCGAGAAGTTAAAATATACTCTACATTATATTTTTCACGTAGGTAAGGAAGTAGCTCTTTCAGAGATCTATTAGAGAGTAATATACCTTTTTGAAACGGAATAAGCCCTTTATGTTTACCTATCCGCATTGAACTAACTACTTCTGACATTTCATCTAGCAGACGTATCTGCTTATCTAAATCTTTGCCATATGCATTTCGTGTTGGACAATTTTCAACAAACTTAGATCGACAATTAAATAAGTCAAACCAATCATTGAATAGTTGAACAACTACAGCAGCTTCTTTCCAATAACTGTCTTTTGGCATGAGTCCATTTTCTCCAGCATAACTGATTGCTTTTGCTACAGAGTTTGATAATAATTGTACTGCAGGTCTCACTTTTTGTCTCATAGAGCCTTTTAAGCAGAGATGGTGTGGTGTCAATTTGTGCGCAATTGTTAACTCTGAAGTTGAAATATTTAGCAGCGCTTCAAAGTAATCTTTATTGATTACTTTGTTATCGATAATAAAACCGTGATCAATTAAATGATTTCGAGTAAGTTTAAGCAGATGTGGAGGATCTGCGAAAACAAAAATCTTTAAAGAGTTATCACAAGGGTGATTAAAAAAACAATTTTGATGTCCAACACCCAGCTGAGACCACAGTCCAGTATTTCCAGTGCCCATGTCACTAGTAATCGCTACTACGATAAAATTTGCTCGGAACAGTTCAGCTACTATTTTTTCAATAATATATTTCATCATCGACTGATCAAATTCATAGTAAATTGGTTGCTTCCATTTTGAAAGTAAACCACGCACCATAACAGTTTGACAACATCTGTGAGGTCCGATGATCTGTTCAGTTTTCTTATCGATCTCGATTTTGTTCGAAACATACATTTCGTCAAAGCTTAGTACGCAAATTCTATCAGCTTCAGTACAATCAAGAGACTTCTTTTGCATTAATGTTATTACACTCTTCAAAATACCCTGATGTACGTCAAAGCTGGAAACCCAGCTTCTTAAGGTGGACAAAGCTGGTAAAGGATAATTGTTTACTCTCAAATAACGATATGCTTTTGGACTGACACTACGTAAAGAAATTGCGGTTGCAATATCCTCTGGTGACCAACGGACTCTTTTTTTTCCTGCATTCAATAATTTTTTTATCTGCCCCGGAGTGAAAACTTTGGCTAAGACATCTTTATATTTTAAGGCTGTTTTTTCTTCTATTTTTTCAACCTGCTCAGTGAGTGCTTTATTCTGCTTTTCCAGAACCACTATTCTCTCCTTCAACGTTTTTATCTGTATGTCACTTGCTCTGTAATAAACAAGTTATTAGATTACTAGAATATTCTCTATTTTGTCAAAAGTGTCTTACTTTGTTAATTAGGTAATAAAAATCTTGTGAAATATGTTTTCCGATAGAAGTTGTTCGATTTTTGTTAGAAAAAAAAGAATAATTTTTTCACTTTTGAATTAGGCGCTAAAACGTCACTGTCCTGTGATTGTTGCATGCGTGATTTGGGAGCCATTCACTGGTTAATATATTCAGTACTAGAAGTAAACTTACTTTTCGATACCTGCTGTAGCCAACGTTGTAGTCTCAGTTCTGATATCATTGGTACTTTTTTGCTGTGTTAGATTCAAAATGATCGAAGTACTTGCTTTTAGCATATCTTCTACATTTTTATGTTGTGTTCTCTTTTTCAGTCGTGCTGATCTGTCTCCTTGATTTTGTGAGCAGGAATCATGACATCCTGGTAGTCGTAAAGTAGGCACAGCATCAGGTTTCAAATATCGGCTATTTTTGGGGGTGTATTTTAGCAATTTTTGTCGCAATGGAATTTCAAAACAGCTGGCATCAAAATGCTCGGAGCAGATGCATGCTACGAATAAAAAATCTAATGATATCATCATAGCTTTTTCCTAATATTTCTTAACAAAAGGAAAGGTGTAAAATATTGTATACACAACTTGAAAATATGTACTAACCATTTCTCAAATTAATTTCATCTTCACGGCGACATGCACCTACCCATCGCTTTACAAACTCTTCATTCTTTGGAAATCGAAAGTACCTTATATCAGATCCTTTCGTAACCCTATTATAATTTTTGCAATTAGCTACCGCACAACCCGGCATTCTTGTCGATGTAAAAAAGGAAAACGAAATGCTGGAACAAAATCTTATAACGTCGGTATTATCCTAACCTCACTATACTGAACTCTGTAATCGCCATTCATCGATGCTTCGCAGGTGACGTCATGCGCGCCATCGTACGATTTTTGACTCGCTTAGTAGCATACCGGTGTTACGTGTATCGTGGGTGAGTCCTTGAACCATTTGCCTTATTTACCCCAAAAAGTCGTTGAATTCAAGACGCTTGATACTACTTGCTTACTGTAGAAGTTAGTGCTTTCCTAAATTGTGAATAATGTCGCATGAACTGTCGAATTTGGTGCGCCAGAGAGGCGTAATAAAAGCGCGACTCACTAATTTCAAAAAATACTTAGATAATGTATCTGCCACGGCAGGGGGGGATTGGTAAGCGGCGACGGCGGCTCGACCGCGTGTCTGTCTTCGTACGCGCCTGGTCTGGCGTTGCTATCCACCGCCATTGTGGAAATGCTAGACAAAGATGGAAATCCCTGCCAGGGGCGTGCACTTTTAGGCCCGTATCGTCAGTCGTCCCTACAATTGTAGGGCGCGTTTATGGCCTCCTTGGTTGTCATACCCCTTTCTCTCCTTCAAAAATTTCTAGATTACACTTGTCCCGTGTCAGCGTCAGCGCTCTCCTATTGTGAAGATATGTTTTCTTTTTGAATTGTAGGAAATTTCAGGCTGATAAAACATGATATAACTCAAAAGCAAGCACAATTTGATGCAAATAGATGTTTGTGACATAACCTCAAAATAGAGTTCTGACACGGAGAAGTAGAAAACTATGACAATCAAGGAGGCCATAAAGGCGCCCTACAATTGTAGGGACGACTGACGATACGGGCCTTAGACTCGGGGAGTCAATCCAATTATATTACCGAGGAATTTTGTAAGAAGTTGGGTATCGCTACTACAAATGTTCGGTTTGAGGTATCTGGGCTGAACGAAAACGCTCTAATAGCCAAAGCACGTTGCGATTTAGAGATAAAATCAATAATTAATGCTTTTAGTAAGTGTTTGACTTTTTATGTGTTGCCCACAATAACAAATGATATTCCGAGTGCTAGGGTTGATCACAATTTGTTGGATATTCAGAAAAATCTGCGATTGGCAGATCCATCATTTTATGTACCTGGCAAAACAGACATGTTGATTGGCATAGATGTTTTCTATCAACTTCTTTTCATAGGTCAAGTCAAGTTAGGCGCAGGCATGCCTTGACTTCAAAAAACCGTCTTGGGATGGGTAGTGTCTGGACCATTAAGTTTACATCCGGGCCAAGGTACGGGCAAATCAATCTGCAATCTCTCTGTTAGCAATAAGACCGTTTAAAATCAGTTAGCCTCATTTTGGGAGATTGAAGAAGTGCCAATAGAAAAACCCAAATCTGGCGAGGAGAGGTTATGTGAAACACATTTTGTAAACAGCACAAGACGCGATACAGATGGGCGTTTTATAGTCTCCATTCCATTCAAGGATAGTACAAGTAAGCTTGGCGTTTCTAAAGTTATAGCTGAAAAGCGGTTCCACAAACTGGAACAACGGCTAGTCTCAGACTTGAACTTCAGGGAAAGTTACAATGAGTTCATGAAAGAGTATGAATCACTCAATCACATGACGCGTGTATACAATGATGATTTGAAGGTTACGAATTACTACATGCTGTATCATGGTGTCTTCAAGGAAGACTCTCAGACCACTAAGTTGCGTGTGGTCTTTGACGGAAGTTGCCCTACTTCATCTGGGTTTTCTCTAAATAATCTTCAAATGGTAGGTCCTGTTGTGCAAGATGATTTGCTAAGCATTATAATTCGTTTTCATACTCACAAAATTGTCATAGCATATATAGCGAAAATGTATAGACAAGTGCTGATAGAGCCTGAACAGCGTTATTTTCAGCAGATATTGTGGCGCGATGATGCTTCTAAAGATTTGCATACCTATCAGCTGAATACCGTCACCTACGGCACTGCCTCTGCTGCCTATCTAGCCACGCGATGCGTACAAGAATTGGGTTTAAAAGTCTCCGAATCGAATCCCCGCGCGTCTCAAATAATATTGCATGACTTCTATGTTGATGACATGCTCACAGGGTGCGAAAACTTAAATGAGGCTGTGGAGATTTGTAGAGATGTATCAGATACATTAAAATCGGGATGTTTTGAGCTCCGCAAGTGGCAGTCAAACAATTCAGAGTTGTTGTCTGTTATCAGCGCAAATAATCAGCAAGAACACGTTTTGAAAATCGGTGAAAGAGCAAACTGCAAAACACTTGGTTTAATATGGGTATCGTCCAGCGTCTTATTGACATATATTGGTATTTTCAATAAGGAGGAAAGGGTAACGAAAAGAACCCTATTATCACACATATCGCAGGTTTATGATCCCTTAGGCCTCGTAAGCCCTTGTATTATAAAGGCAAAAATTATGCTGCAGTCACTTTGGTTAGAAAAGGTCTCATGGGATGAGATTCTTTCACAAAATGTATGTGCCAAATGGGCAAAACTTCGCGATGATTTGCCAGTATTGAATGATTTATTCATTGATCGGCGGGTATTGTGTGAAAATGCCAAAGTTATCGAGTTGCATGGATTTGCTGACACCTCGAAAGATGGGGGTGTTTGTATGTTAGAACCATGGACGAATATGGTAACATATAGGTGCACTTATTGTGTGCTAAAACAAAGGTAGCCCCAATAAAGACATTAACCATACCCCGATTTGAGCTATCTGCAGCATTAGTACTAGCGCGATTGGCAAATAAGGTTTTAAAGTCAATAAACATTAAGTTTGACGAATGCACATTTTGGAGTGACTCATCTGTGGTCTTGGGCTGGCTTGGTCATTGCCCCAGCAGTTTAAAAACCTTTGCAACAAATCGAGTATCCGAATTTCAAACATTGACGGCTGACCACCAGTGGCGTTACATTGAGACAAAGCAGAACCCCGCGGACGTGTTATCGAGGGGAGTGTACCCACATGAGTTACGTGAAATATATTTATGGTGGCATGGACCACCTTTTTTGTCTGAAAACGAATCGGATTGGCCTGATGTCAAATTTAGCGTTTCAAAATTGCCAGAATTAAGCATAACATCTCAGGCTCTTGTATCGAATTCAAAGTTCACTGATTCATTATTTTGCCGATATTCTACTTTAACAAAATTCAGGCGAGTGGTTGCCTACATCAATAGGTTCAAATGCAATAGCTTAAAGTTGAAAAATCTTAGCGGTCCTTTGTCTGTTAGTGAACTAAATGATGCCCTTCTACGTTTGGTAAGACTGTGTCAAAGAGCTTCATTCCCGGAAGAATATGACTGTTTGACACGAAATGTAAAATTGAACCACAAATCGAGAATTTTAAGTTTGTCACCATTCCTTGAGAAATGGCATCATCAGAGTTGGCGGAAGATTAAATAATTCTTTCTATGCATATGAGAAAATGCATTCTATGATATTGTGTGCGAAGCAACCTTTAGCTGTCTTGATTGTGACGTTTAAGCATAAAATTACTTATCATGCGGGCCCTCAAGCATTACTAGCGTCTCTACGGGACAAGTATTGGATAGTTTCTGGTCGGCGACTGTGTAAGGACGTTTTCAATAGATGCGTCACATGTAAAAGACAAAAGGCTCAAATCTTAGCGCCAGTAATGGGTCAATTACCTAAATCGAGATTTTCTTGCAACTTTTCGTGTGAAATATGCGGTGTTGACTATGCAGGTCCGTTCCTAATAAGGGACAAAAGGGGCGTGGTTGTCAACTGGTAAAGAGTTATGTATGTTTATTCATTTGTTTTGCGACAAAAGCACTACATCTTGAATTGGTGTCCGACCTAAGCACCGAAACCTTTATTTTAGCCTTAAGACGATTTGTTGCCTGACGCGGTAAGCCTAAACAGATCAATTCTGATAATGGTACTAATTTTATCGGAGCTAATTCAGAGCTAAAGGAACTTTCTAGTTTTCTACGAGAGCAAGGTCCTTCAATCATTGATTCTTGCAGTGAAATAGAAATCGGTGTTTCATTCCTGCTCACTCACCTCATTTCGGTGGTTTATGGGAGGCGGGTGTTAAATCCGTCAAACATCATCTAAAGAGAACCGCAGGTAGCGCTAATTTTACTTTTGAGGAATTCTATTCATTACTCGTTCACTGCTATAAATCCTGGAAAACTGTCGCAATTCCAGAGAATTCAAGCTGCCAAACAACATTTTTGGCAGAGATGGAACTCAGAATATGTAGGAGAATTTCAGCAAAGGAAGAAATGGACCAAAGATGGTGGTCCGAAGTTGGAGCCAGGGATGATGGTACTCATCAAAGAAGACAACTTACCACCCTCCAGATGGCTGTTAGGCCTGCTGGTCGTGATGGTGTCGCGAGAGTGGCAACTGTCAAGTGTAGTGGTGGCGAGTTGAAACGGTCATTTGCCAAACTGTGTCTGTTGTTTTAAGTGCCTTAAGCGGAACTGTGTTTATTTCGATCCGCAGGACTCCAACGAGGGGAGTATGTTTCCGCGAATCCCGAACAATCGGCTCAACGTGGCAACGTTGAGAGAGAGTTGAGAGAACAAGATACAGTCCATACGTTTTTCTTCTCAGCACGACAAAAACTGTCTAAATAATTGTAAAATTTGACTACAATTGTGTATAACAATAAAACTCCAAGAATTCAACGCAGCAAGCAACAAAGTCTGTTCTTCATTTCACCCCACAAGGCGGCGACCGAACCTCTCAACAAAGGATAGAACAAAAAATCCACTAAAATTCTCTAAACAATTTGATGGCAAATATTTAAGTGTCTAGCGATCTTTCTCGTACTCGTTTCAGGTTGTTTTTCGACTTCGTACAGCACTGCTTCCTCAATTTCAGGTGTTCTCACACTTAGAGGTCTACCTTCAGATGTTCCTTTTCGGAGAGAACCAGGTTCAACAAGACGACGACGATTAGAAAAGGTTAGACTTATCTGGCAAAGCACGATCGGGA